TCACTAATCACCAGAGAGATGCAAATGAAAACGACAATGAGGTACCATCTCACACCTGTCAGAATGGCTGCCATCAACAAATCAACAAACGACAAGTGCTGGAGAGGATGTGGAGAAAAAGGAACCCTCTTGCACTGCTGGTGGGAATGCAGACTGGTGCAGCCACTGGGGAGAACAGTGTGGAGTTTCCTCAAAAACCTAAAAATGGAACTCCCATTTGACCCAGTGATCCCACTTCTAGGAATATATCCCAAGAAATCAGAAACACCAATCAGAAAGGATATATGCACCCCTATGTTCATAGCAGCACAACTGACAATAGCCAAGTTTTGGAAACAGCAGATGAGTGGATTCAAAACAGTGGTATATCTGCACAATGGAATACTATGCTGCTGTAAAAAAAGAAGGAATTCCTACCATTTGCAACAGCATGGATGGACCTGGAGAGCATTATGCTGAGCGAAATAAGCCAGTCGGAGAAAGATAAATATCACCTGATCTCACTCATTTGTGGAATATGACAATATAAACTGATGCCAGAAATAGATCCAGAGACAGAGAAGCATCGAACAGATTATCAAACCTTAGAGGGAAGGCAGGGGAGGGTGAGTGGGGGGTGAGAGATCGACCAAAGGACTGGTATGCATGCATAGGAGCATGACCAATGGACACAGACAGTAGGGGGGTGAGGGCGTGTGCTGGGGGTAGAAGAGGCTGGGGAGAGGTCAATGGAGAGGGAGACATAGGTAACACTTTAAACAATAAAGAATTTAAATTAAAAAAATAAAAGCCGTTTATAGCGGGCAGTCACGTCCTAGGCCAGCACCTTCCCTGACAAAGACCAACTTCCATCTTTACGGAGCCTGTTGTCTCTAGGATCACACACCTGTGGGAGGCGGGGGAACTTGTAACTTCCCTTTTCCCGACCCCTCAGCGTGCAACCAGTGACCACAAACCCCCTCACTGCCATTGAGTTAAGTGCTGACGGTGAACTGTCCTGCACCCACCCAGTGCAAGAAGCCTGTGTCCATCACTCACTCTTCATCCAATCCCAGAGGTGCCCCCTTGCTTTCTCCCGCCCCCTAGTCCACCCCCAGTGGAGTTCCTGTCACCCGCCTACCGCTCCTCCTCTGACTGTCATGCATAGAACAAGGTGAACCCTGCCATTCTCCGGGGCATCGTCCCCGTCCACTGAGACTCTGCTTCCCGGCCACTGTCCACGGTTTGGCTCAAATAAGCTCACAAAAATGCTTTACAGGTTCGAAGTTTTTTTTTCAGGTTAACAGAGGTGTGGAGCCTGTAGGGCTGTGAGGGGAACCACAGCAGAAGGACAGGAATCCACTGACCTCCCTGCAAGGTCCCTGACGGGGTGAGGCATAGAGGCAGGGACAGGAGACTGTGGGGCCCCTGCACACAAGGCCCAGAGGCCCAGGGCGGGTGGGAGCCAGAGAGCAACGGCCCAGGTGTGTGACTGTCGCTAAGCGTAGAGGCTCCCGGGACGGCAAGAAGCCAGAGACCTAAGAGTCACGCTCCCTTTCAACCTCAGCACGTTGGGTGTAAAGACGGAGACGGTTACACACCAGCAGATCTCAAATTCCAAACTTGAGAGAAAACAACTGTGAATCTAGCCACTGCACCGACGGTCGGATGGACGCAGTGTGGCTGGCGGGAGGAGAAATCCTTCAGAAGGGCCGAGTTTGGCAGCGGGGCGAGCGGGTCACCCCACGCCACACAGACAACTCAGACCGCCAGCAGTGACGACTGCATCTTTGTGCAAATTAGCGAAGACACCACTTGCAGTTTCATGCCACAAAAGGAGCTGCAGAAGGCAGCCTGGAATCAGCCCTCCCCAGGAACGCCGTCTGTCACAGAGGAAAGGCAGGGGAGAGGGAAGACAACATTACAGAGGACAGCGTTCAGTCACCGGCGTTTCATTCACAGGCCTGTCCTGGGCACCCGGACAGGAGTGTCACTCAGCTTCCCTGCAGGTGGTTCTGAAGGCAGGGGAGACGGATCGCCCTGGGAAACACAGAGCGAGGACAGAATGGCTCAGAGTCAAAGGCAGGGAATTCCAGGGCCATTTGTCCCATAAAGTCCCCTTGCTATTTCTCCCTCAGGGCCTGAGAGACCATGCATTACGGGCTCCATTTTCCTGCAGTTTGTTATTCGGCGGCTTCCCATTACACAATGTTCTGAACCACAGGCCCGTCCGGCCGGGCACAAACTGTTGTAACAGCAAATGGCCGGGACTCGGGGCGAGCATCCGTTCGCCGGGTGAGTGACAGCAAATCGATACTGAGTGTGTACAGCCATCCGTCTTCCCTCACGTGGAAAGCAATCTCGCTGAGAAACAGCAGCCTAGCCTCCCTCCCCCTCCCTCCGTTCGTTCTGGCCATTGGGGTGGGCGGGCACTGAGGGGTCGGCTGGCCCAGCGACTTAGAGGGTTAGAGACTGAAGTGTCGAGGAAGAGGAGAAGGCTCCGCATGCATCGCTGAAACGCCGAGCGGGAGGGGGTGGGATGACTCAGCATCCAGAGGCCCAGTCTCGGGATGGAATTGGCCATGCCACCGTCACTCGTCACTCAGCAAGCAGAGAAGGCAGGCTGGAGGGTTTCCAAGTTCATTCCGATGTTTTCGCTGCTGCGTCATCTGCCCCTTTCTGCCCCAATCTTTCCGAAGCTTAAAATAATTAGGAAGAGCCTTAGCTGGTGTGGCTCAGTGGATAGAGTGTCGGCCCGCGGACTGAAGGGTCCCAGGTTCAACTCCAGTCATGGGTACATGCCCAGGCTGTGGGCTCGGTCCCCAGTGGGGGGCATGCAGGAGGCAGCCGATCCATGATTCTCTCATCACTGATGTTTCAATCTCTCTCTCCCTCTCCCTTCCTCTCTGAAATCAGTAAATATATATGTTTTTCAAAGAGCCAACCTGGATACGCGCCAGGCACAGGGCGGTAGGCGGACTTAGTGACAGCGGGGACTGCGTCTCCCAGGCTCGGGGTGTCAGTACTAGGGGCGACTGGGAGACGGTGCTGACACCAGAGAGCAGGGGTTACGCAGCGTCCGCCCTTGGAGAAGAGCGGTGAACTCTGGCCTTTGAGTCGGAGCACAGCCCGCTGGAGGGGCCTTACGGGGGCACCGGGAGGAAGCAGCGCCGCCCTCACATGCCCACTCCCCCCTCAGCTGCCGGCCCGGCCAACTCCCGCAGCCCTCAGGCCAGGGCTCAGGACACAGCAGGTGGAACCTCGGTGGGCAGGCCTGTCCTCTGGATGGGAAAGGTGGCTCACGGCCACTGCTGCCCTCTCAGCCTCCAGAGGAGTCCATGAGTCAGAGAGAGCCGTAGGGAGTGAACACGGTGAGACTGGTCAGCAGAGACCCGCATGGGACAGCAGTGACAACGGCCGTGGGCCGCGCTGAGCAGTGCTCATGACCATATCCTCCTTCCCCAGGCCCTCAGGTGGGAGACCAGGTACAGACATGCCGCCTGCAGGACGGAGAGCGCCCGGTGCCTGCACTTCCCCGGGGGCCTCAGAGGCGGGTCTCCGGAGCCCCGGCACCCGGGCTGGGCCCAGCTGCCCAGACGCAGGCCCACGTGAGGATGAGCTGGCACCCGGGTCCACGTTCCACATCCACCCTGAGCTGTAGTTGGTGAGATTGTCTCCATACACTCGCCCCCGGGAAGCCCCCGCAGCCACCGTCTCACTGTGCTCACGGGAAACTCACGTCCCCCAGGGTCCCTGGAGCTGGAGGATGAATGGCCCTTGGCTTCCAGGTCAGAGCCCCGGAGCCCAGATCGTGGCCGAACGGACTCGGGGAGGCCTGCGTTCCGGCCTCACCGCCGAGACTGAACCTGTGTTCTAAGATCTGACAAACCAAGTTCAGGCTCTGCACCTCCTCCTGCTCGGAAAAGTGAGGCCCTGCGCCATCTCCGTTCTCGGCTGACCCGCCACGTACGCACACGCTCTTTGCTTCTATCCAATGTTATCTGGAAAGTTCCCCACGGCCTGGCTTTGCTGAAGGCCCACGAAATGCCACCTCTGGAGCAGGAATGTACAAACAACCTGCTCTGTCTAGCCGACAAAAATCATTTCCATTTTAATTTGATAAATGCTGGGAGGAGGTAAATAATTTTACAGCCTCGCCTCCCTGTCTCTCTGGCTTCAAAGCCCGTGCCCTTTTCTCCATGAAACATTTAATTTAGTTTTGTCACACCTTCTGCATAAATAACATTACCATTTTATTTCACCACTGATCTCAGAAGGCTCACCGTTTCTTCAACTCCTCATTTTCTCTAATGATTAATTCTCACGTCAGACAAAAAGACAGTTTAATACTGTGGGGAGGAAGGACAGACGCTTCCTAACACCCAGTGAGCAATCACGAATCTGTTCCGTTGTGTTCAGATAAGAACAGAAGACCTACCTCCTTACAGCAGAGCTCGTGCCTGAAAGCAGTAGAAGAGCTGGGTGTGTGAACGACCTCCTGGTTCACAGGGCAACGCTCAACCGGTGAGCCACGCCGGCGGCCCAGCCAGGGATATTTTATTAGAAATTACAGACCCTGACACCTATGTCCCAGAGATCAATATAGTGTGCGTGGGGGGTCGGGGGTAAGGAGGGTCGACTAGGACGGAGAGAGAAGGTGGGATAAAACCTGGGAGGGAGACATCTATTTAAGAGAGAAACCTCGGGCTGCACCGGTGACGGGTGAGGGCAGAGAGGAGGCAGCGCTGAGATCCACTCAGGAGGCAGGATCCACAATCAACAGGACCTCCCCCTCCCCGCCCCCGAGCGTGAGGTCACACACATTCTTTCTCCAGAAAAGACCCCGGACGGAGGTGGGGAAGGTAGAGAAGTAGACAGAGATGAGGTGGGAGGGCCCTTCGCAGACCGACTTCTCCAGAAACAGCCCAGGGAGAACTCCCGCCCCCTCTGCTGACGGACCGACCGACCGACCGACCGACCGACTGACCGACCGACGGACCACACAGAAAGGAGGGACTTACGGACGGAGTTCTTGGGGCTGCTCTCCTTGCTGGGCAGCATCTTCACGCCTCTGGACTTGAGCTCGATGGCCTTTTTCACTGGAAGAGAGAGAAGAGAGCGTGAGCGGGCAGAGGCAGCCAGCGTCCGCCCTCAGCGCTCCGTCACGGCGCTTTCCCACCGCGCCCGGGAAAGGGCCACAGGCTGAGAGGCCCGTGATGCCAAGTGAGTGAAGTGTAAGGGCTCGTGAACGAGCAACAGCAGCCATCAAACAGCGGGGCCATGTCTTACAGCCTCAGCTTCGAAAGCTAAAAATCAGGTACACACTTCACCTTCCTCACCCAACCTGCTCACACCAGCCACGGCGATTCCACAAACCGCTCTCATTTCACCGTAGTGTTCAGGCAGATTCCCGTCTCAGCTTAAGGGTAGTGACAACAGAGTTTTCTAAATTTGCTACAGTCACGACAAATTTTAGATAAAATGAAAGTTGCACGTTTACTTATTCATATATTCATGCAATCATGCGGAGTTCAGCAGAGATGCAAAGGCAGAGAGTTAGTAGGAGACAAGCATCCTCTACGTATCAGGGACACAATCTATACTAATAAAAGAGTAATATGCTAATTAGACCAGGAGACGTTCCGGATGTCCTTCCGGACAAAGCCATGGTGGCAGGGTTGAGGCAGAGGTGGTTAGGGGCCTTCAGGCCAGCAGGGGAGGACAGTTGGGGGCGATCAGGCCGGCAGGTGGAGGTGGTTAGGGGCAATCAGGCAGGGATGCGAGTGGTTAGGAGCCAGCGGTTCCGGATTGCGAGAGGGATGTCCAACTACCAGCAGTTGGACATCCCCCAAGGGGTCCTGGATTGGAGAGAGTGCAGGCCGGGCTGAGGGACCCCCCACACCATGCACGAATTTCGTGCACCAGGCCTCTAGTATTAAATAACAGAGCACAAGTGCATCGGACCCTCCTAAAGGGAACATATAGGACTTGGTTTCTAGACTCATTGCTCTGATACTTGGGGAGGTGTCTCCATGTTTGTAGGATGCGCCTCACATGTAATAAAAAGCTCAGGCTCCTGTTCACGTCTGGGAAAACATGTGGGTGGCGCTTGTGGCGGAAATAGAAAACAATATTTCACCTACACATTTCTGATTGACATGTGGGAACCTGGGCCTGGAGGAGCTGAAGACATGGAGATCGGGGCTCAAATCTTTGCTTGTGATGCGTGACCAGGACCACACAGAACAGGGAAGGGGCCTGGGACCTGCTCTGGCCCACAGCCCTGCCGGCTGCGTGTGGCCCGTGTCATCTCCCCGGACGCGCTCTACAGCGACCCAGCCAGCACCTCCCTGGCCCATCGCCGCCCCTCCTGCTGACATCCGGTGCCCTGCGCTCACTCAGGAGACAGGAGATGGACGCCGTGACTGACGAACAGAGTCGGTGGAGATCATGAACTCCTCCGAGCAAATGTCACCCAAAGCAAACAGCTCAGACAAACACATCGCCGCACTCGGAGAATAAATGGGAGAGGAAGAGAGTCAGCCTCGGTGCAGTGACTGGATCTGAACACACGGGACCCACCTGATGTCTAACCATCGATTTAATTTTGCAAATAAGTGTGTGTGGCTGAGCTCGGCTCATCTGCAACAAGGATTTTTTTTTGGTAAGGAGGTGCTGCCTGGCCAGCGTGGCTCAGTGGTTGAGCGCCCACCTAGGAACCAGGAGGTCAGGGTTCGATTCCCTGTCAGGGCACATGCCCAGGTTGCAGGCTCGATCCTCAGTTTGGGGCGTGCAGGAGGCAGCCGATCCATGGTTCTCTCTCATCCTTGATGCTTCTCCTTCTCCCTCTTCCTTAAAGAAAATACTAAGGTAGGTGGGGGGGCTTTCCGCCCTGGACCGTCCTGAAGGGTCCTCCAGCCTCCAGGCCGCCCTCTTCTGATTGGACAGCTGGCTCACACCCTGTGGAAGTGAAGGAGCCCCTCACCCTCCAGGGCCCTTTCCTCTCTTCCCTGGGTCCCCGCCCCCCTGCCCTCCTCCTGCCTCCCTGCAGCTCCCTCAGCAGCACAGAGATCCCCAGGGGGCCGTGCGGCAGGGGTGTGGCTGCAGACAGGGAGCTGGGTGCACCTCAGGAGGGTCCCTCACAGGGTGCGTTTGTCCACAGCCTGCAGGTCCCCTATCCGAGCACATAGCCACCCAGGGCCAGGCCAGGCCTCCGAAAGGGAGGTGCGATCCCTGTCCTGACAGATAAGAGCCCTTGGTCCCGCCTCCACCCACCAAGGAGGAACTGGGGCGGGGCCCCTGCAAGCTTCGGTGTTATCAGCCCAGAGGCCAGGTTCTTATTTGTTTGTTTAATTTCTTCTGTTTCCTTTCACTCTGTTCCTGTGTTTTCTGAGGGAAGGTTCCACACATGCTCATGTTTTTGTCTGAGACTCACTTGTCTGCCCTGACTGGGATCATGTCTCCATAACTCAGATTCAACAACTTCCAGCATATAAGCCGCCCTCCTTCCTTATAGCAACACAGACGAAGGGACACTGTGGGGCAATGCCTGCAGATTGCGGGCAAGAAAGGCTGAAAAACAGGATAACTACACATGGGGAGGACAGCTGTTCTGTTTCATTTACTTTTTTCCCCTCTCTCCCTCCCTCCTTCTCTCCTTCTCTCCCTCCCCCTCCCTCCCTCCCTCTTTTTCTGCATCAGCTGCCCTCACTCCAGCCTCCCCATGGTGTGGCGCTTGGGGTGAGACCTGCGTTCCTTGTGTAGTTTGAGAATCTGCAGTCCCCGGAGCTGCCTGCGCCAGGGAACGTGACCCGGCGCCCGGAGCCCTGCTTTCCCCACAATACGGCTCAAAAATTTCCAAAGGAAAAGCCGGGATGGAAACTGCTTTAAACAAACTGAACTGCCGTCCGCGGGGACAGGGGCCCTCGAGAAACTTCAGACGGAGGAAACGTTTACGTAACCGCCAGTGACGGAGAAGCTGGTCCTGTAGCTAAAACTGCAAGCCTGTTTACTGAACCGATGAACTCAGAGGATTGTCAGAATGCCACGAAAGCCCCTCCAGGCCAAAGACGTTCCATCCACGTGGCACGCCGGAGGGATGTCCACTCTCCTACTGCCACCAATGAACTGTAACTGCCTGCCAGAGCGGCGGTTCTCAACCTGGGGGTCGCATGACCCTTTCACAGGGGTCGCCGAAGACCATTGGAAAACACACATATAATAACATATTGTTTTTGTGATTAATCACTATGCTTTAATTATGTTCAATTTGTAACAATGAAAATACATCCTGCATATCAGATATTTATATGACAATTCATAACAGTAGCAACATTACAGTTATGAAGTAGCAACGAAAATAATGTTATGGTTGGGGGTGACCACAACATGAGGAACTGTATTAAAGGGTCGCGGCCTTAGGAAGGTTGAGAACCACTGTGCTAGAGGCTCGATGCATGAAATTCGTGCAAGGGGCTCGGCCCCCCACCACGGCAGTTTCGTCCAGAAAGTCATCCAGAAGGACGTCCGGTCTAATTAGCATATTACACCTTTATGATTATAGATGCTAATTATTCGTAGGGAACATGCCAGCAGTAACAGTGAACCCCCAGGCTCCCTCCCCTGGGCCGCCCGCACCTGCCACCAGACCACTCCCTCGGTTTTCCTCCTCCTTCCCTGGCCGCCCTTGTCCACAGCCGCGTGTCGCCCTGCGATGTGCTAGCACCTGATGCCGTCAAGCTCGCGTGCCCACGTCACCCCTGGACAGCACATCCAGTGGGAGGACGGCAGCCGAAGGGAATGTCATCATGTTACCACGAATGCGCAATGTGTCTAGGAATACTGTGCATGCGGCAGTATGCACGCACTTTCTATACCCCCACCCCCTCCGCCTCAGCGTGCAGGATCCGCAGTTATCACAGTGACCCACAGAGAGACGCCAGCTGCGGGGGTCAGTGCCGGCCCAGGGGGCGCCCCAGGGCGGCTCAGCCCCATGGGCGGGCACCGCTCAGCCGGCTCCTGCTCGCGGTTCACCAGGGAGCGCTGCCTCCTGCAGATTCCCGCCTGCTCTCACCACACACACAGCTTAGCTTTTCTTCCCTACAGCGTGCGACTGCGATGTGACGTCACACTGGAACTGTTCTACACACCCGTGTGCTTCCTCAAACGCTCACCTCCCAAGTCAGAACTTACCATCGCCTAACTAATCGTTGGATGAATTTGTATGCAATTTGCTTAGACCTGAGTTGAATGTTTACTAATATCGATCCTCTTACAGCGAAAGATATGCCCGAAGCCACAACGCATGGAGGTTTTACTTTCCTACAGGTACTTTCCTTATGATTATGCTACTCCCTGTACATTCCCGAGAATTTGGGAAAAACCTAAAAATGACCAGGAAGAAAATAAAAGTGCCGCCTGGATAACCCCCACCGTGTCTCCTCCCCAGCTGTGTCCGCTAAAGCCCTGACCCTCGCCCCTCAGCAACCCGCATGTGCCCTGCCCGGCCTCGACCGTGACCTGGCTCTGAGCTGGGCGCTCACCCCTGGGCCACAGGCGGGCCCAATGGCATTTCCAATGTAAACGTGTCTCCTCTTCCCCACTTTGCGTTAATTATTCCTGTTGTGTACGTGCTATTACTGCGCTGTTTCCCCAGCGCGTTCAGAGCCTCCTCGCTTCCATTAAATCAAACTCAATGTGGTGAAGGAAGGACGGAATGGGATGCTCCTTACGTGGGAATAATAACATTTCTCTGTGAGCGCCTGTCAGCGCGTCGCTGAGAAATTAATTACGGGCGCTTTCTGGGAGGCGCCGCGCGAGGAATCGGAGAGTAAAGTCTGGTTAGTACTGACAAGTTCCACAGGCATCGCGGTAAATGCAAACCCCACTGATGCTATAGACACAGCCTTTCTCCTCCTCACCCTCATCGCCAGACCCGGGCAGCCCAGGGGTTAGCGCCCAGGTCACCGGACCCGGGCAGCTCGGGGGTTAGTGCCGTTCGCAGGCGGGAGGGTGGACAGGCAGGCGAGCAGCTGCTGTGCGGGTCACACACAGACCTTTGCGATGCTGCAAGGCACACATCTGAAGACAAGGGTTTTAA